CAGGAAAATTAGGTGTGCACGTACCTCTTTTTACTTCTCATTTCTTGTGAAAAATTATCTCACGAGCTCTAACAACAAGACGTTGTAAGGGTAAAAATTGAATTTCTCTCTCTCCGATCAAGCTGTTGTGTTTCGATTTAGTTATTTCTTAGCAAAAATGATTGAAACAGTATGAAAGTGAACAAAATGAATGCGCAGAAGCTATGCAGCAGTTATATCTACTCATAGGAGTTCCCATAGATTTTTGCACTTTATCAGTTTGCAAAGACTTTTGCTTTCGATCCTCAATCCGTGAGTTTTCGACCTTTCTGCATACATGAACATTTTCTCGTTAATAATTTGATTAATTGAATAATACTATAATCCTCTTATCAACCAGGTAACACTGATCTCTGGTCCGAAAATCGTGCATACAGCGTGACTGGTAACGACTGGGCATCTCGAACAAACATTCTAGTGCATCGCTATTGATTTAGTTTATAACTAAACATCCCACGGGCAGTGATACAGTTGCCAATTTAATTTGGGATGATCATCCAAACCAAGCTTACTTTCTGATGCGTAGCATAGCACTAGAAATAGCATTATCATCGGAAAGCCTTCTTTTCACCGTATCTGCGTGTATACAATAACACGACAGTTTTACGCCCTGCTCAGAATAAGGAAATACATCATTGTGCAAAGTTTCATATTTTTTCTCATCACTTGGTTATACTTTTTCAAGGTTCGTGTTAAAACAAACGTCTAATGTTTTGTTAGAAAAGATCCGTTTCATAATAAGGAATTTTGTACTGGGATTTTCACTTTCAGATGCACTTATTTCATTTAGAAATTTGGCAGTTTTAATCATCATTATTTTATTTTTCCTATTTTCCTCTTTCTCACAGCGATTGATTCAACAATTGTCCAAGGGAGCACAAGACATGACATGGTTGAACCAGGTAAGTACTGATCACATATTGTGGTCTGTTTACGAATCGCTAAAACAATAACAGTTGCACGAGGTAACTATCAACACATCGAAATGTGTGAAATGTGTGCTACGAACGTGACGTTGTTTACCCCATAAACTTCGTTGGCCAAACGCCACAACTGATGGTTTCATACTTTTTTCGGCTGGTCGCTCACATCGGCCTAAGGGCACGGCGAACAAAATATCCAAACGAAGCGATTTGTGTTTTGATTTGCGTTTTTTTCTTCAGTAACTGCATAACCACCTAGATTATTCAAGTTAGTGGGCGACTAATCACGAGAGGTGACTTCCGAAATGGAGTTAGGAACATGCGTATTAAAGAATTTAGTTACCTTGGCAAAATTACATCCCATTTAACAGACACATTATCCGGCCAGACAGAAGCTGTCTGTCCTGTAGTGATGTCGAGTCAGTCAGTCATTCTGTCTGTCTGTTTTTCCGTTGACCAATCGGTCGGCCTACCTTCGCACATGTTTGCCTACAGTTCTCTCTCTCGGCTAAGTCACGAGACCATCACGTGAGTCCTACTGGTCCACGTGATGGGTCTGGCAACAGAATCGGTCTTCTCATTTCCCTACCTCGTTCTCTTACATAGGCTGGTCTGGGTTTTGGCCCTCCAACACCTGCACTGTCTAAAGCGAAAACCATAGGGCTGTTTAAAGCGACAGAATGGTTGATACACGTGGTAATGCACGGACCAAATAATTTCTGAATGCATACCGATTTACTGAACTAATCATCCCCAATTAAAGTCCGCCCTCCGAGTAACAATGTGCACAGGCACTCCACACGTACCGTAACTGTCCGAAGGCCCTTCACATCAAAACCTCCCGTTTGTCGTGGAAAAAACAATGTATTTTCACATGGATCAGTGTAGACAGAAGAGATCGGAATAACAGTTTTTTTTATTTGTAAGAAGTTCAAACAAAAATCCTTGTAGGCGACTAGCTAGAAGCATTGCAGCAAAAGNCTCGAAAAGTGCACCTGACCGAAAATAATTCCAAACGACTGAAAAAGCTTTGAACAACACATCTTTAGGCTGACAACAAAATGTTGAATATTCCTGATCTGTTAAGCTTATCTTTTCTTTTGTTTAAACGTGAACTTCAAGAAAGTTATTGCTGATGGATATATCGTACAGCATTAAGCCGCTAAAGTGATATTGACGGTCGAGATTCTTCGAGTCAGCATTATAGACATTTTACGTGAGTGCATGCATCGCAGACAAACATTTTCACACTTCGTCTATGATCGTTCTGGGGGTCACTGATATGCCCTAAATGCGATGAATGGGTTAGGCAGCACAGAGTATTTAATGTGCAACAATATTGTGGTTCATAAGGTTCTTCTCAATTATTTTTCACTTCTACCTACAAAATACCAGTGGAATCACTCACGTCCGTTGTTTATATACTCTTACACTGAACAGACTCTTTTGAAATGAATTCCGTTTATTTTCGTTTCGATAAAGCTTAGAGGAAGGAGATAAAACCGAATAAGTGGTACCGGAGTAGGAAACATTCTAAATACTAAACCATGAGTAAGTAAAGCAAATTAGGGTACCAAAATAGTCTGCTTGTTGTATCTATATAGTTACCGAATGCAAGTTAGCATGTTGACTCGCCGTTTGCACTTAACGTGTCATACACATAACATGAATGTGCTGTTTCTTATGCGACGGAAACCAGACAATAGGTTACCCGAAATCCGTAGGTGGATCTCTTTTCGACGATGTTCCTCTAATTTCATTACAAGATATCCGGGTATCACTTCTAGCTGTCCTCTTGACCGCATCAGCGATACCAGGCCCATGTACATTTCAGGTATCCTAGCCATGCCTAGATTACCACCATGCAGCACAGATTTATCAACCTCTTGTTGAAGCTTGGCGGGGACGGTTATGAGATGTGCCTCAATTACACACGCCTCAATTTACATGACAGATGTTGGTTATTTGCCTTGCTAATACATGTACGTGTGTGTGTGTTTGTCCCTACTTCCCTGAAAATCCATATCTTGAGATGCTCTGCTGACATGAATGATGGATCATGCGCAATCAACGCTTCAGTCATTGCTCACACCCATCGCATGATGCATTTTGAAATAAAAGTCGGAGTTAAAAGGTGTGTAGATAAAATCGCTCTGTTCTTTTTTAGCTCTGCATGCAATGACCATCCTCAACTTGCCAAAACAATACGTGCGTGATACACTAACGGGCTCGGATGCAACAAAGAAGGCTAATTTACTCACATCGTAACCCGTTCTCACAGCATACCCTCTCTGTTTACATAACGTTGTTTTGTTTTGCAAAATGATAGCACGCACACAAACATACGCACATACATCCTGAGCATCAAACACAAGTCTCCAGCTTTACACTGCTTCCTTAAGTATTTACATTCACGGGAAATGCTGTGTCTCTGAGACCGGAAAAAAATGCATTCGTGGAGTTGTACAAGTTTGTTTCTTACTGAAGGCCTATACAAAATAGTAACTTTCCCCGAAATTCAAACAGAAATCGGCTATGTGGCAGCTGAAAACGTTGAATCAACACATATTCCCGTAGGCGCTAAAATTCTGACTCGAGCACCACGTTTACTTCTTTTTACTCTAGTTTGGAATTTCCGTAGTAACTTGAAGTTCTATTTTAGTTGTCCGCGAAAAGAAACGATTCTTCCTTCAATTTTTTAGTTAATTTAAGCCGATTGTCAGTCATAATACACAAAATCAGTCCCGGAAAATTTCCGTGCATCTGACGGGCTACCCAAAGCACAAAATAGTGATGTTCACAGAGCAATCACACACCCGAGAATAGTAATGAATATCCGGTAGGTAGGGTGGGTGAGAGGAGCGCTAGTTCTTGTATGATACAGTAAAAGTTCTTATCGGTTTATTGCTATATATGGACCAGGGCAGTGTCACCTTGTCCAATCTGGATGCATCGGTATCGGCACACGAGTGGGGAACATTGTGCTGTTTCATTCTTGCCAGTTCGCCGACAACTCCCCAGTGGAATTGGTCCGTTTGTGAGATCTGTTGGTTGCAGAGGCGATCGATTGCACGCTTGATTAGAGAGGAAGTATACTTACTGTGATAGAAAAGAATACTTGCCGGTTCATGTTCAGACTGTGTACAGAAGAATGCCCCATGCTTTTGATCGTAAAATTCGTTTCTAATTACAGTTACCGTGCACGTCCGATGATATGCACAGCTCCAAAACCAAAGCGAAACAAGCCAAATGCAAAGATGATACGGGCGTGTCCAGACGAGTTGAGGTAAGTTGTCAGTCGGGTAACTGCAGAAAGACAGTGATTTTGTTAGAACACTTTGCAAATTTAGTGTTTCATCAGGACGGTGAGTGTGATTAGATCAAATGATCCACCGTCAGTTTTCTTACACATATAAGATAAGTAAAGCTTTATCCTTTATTGATGGTCCACTTACGTCTTTGCGAAACACACTTATTACTAAACAAGGAAACATTTCGCCATATATATATATATATCTATATATATATAT